AGTAGTCCTTGAGGGTGCGTTTGGTACGTGGGACGGGACGGGACGGAACGGGACGAGGCGTTCCGTCCCGCGTTTGGTGCGCCAAAAATGGGTGGAACGGGCTGTTCCACGGGACAGATTTTGAGTGTTTTTGCGTTCCACCTCCCCCCCTGGAACGGGTTTGTTCCACGTTTGTGGAACGCAATGTTTTACCATTTTAAGACAAATATACCCCATGTCTTTTTCAAAAATTACACCTTCATTCCGTCCCGTCCCGTCCCGTCCCGTCCCGTTCCGTTCCGTTCCGTCTGCGTACCAAACGCACCCGAAAGATCCCCGAACACAGTGATCTCATAGTTGGCGGGGCCTTTGTACCGTTTGGTACGTGGGACGGGACGGGACGGAACGGAACGAGCCGTTCCGTCCCACGTTTGGTGCGCCTAAAAACTATGGAACGGGTTGTCCCATGGGACGAAATTTGGCTGATTTTTCGTTCCACCTCTTCCCCCTGGAACGATCCGTTCCACATCCGTGGAACACAAATTTATAACATTTTATGACAAAACTTCTCCTTATCTTTTTCAATATTTACATCATCCGTTCCGTCCCGTTCCGTCCCGTTCCGTCCCGTCCCGTCCCGTCCCGTCCCGTCCCGTCCCGTCTGCGTACCAAACGGTACCTTATTGACCCAAGAAGAATCCACAACCTCAATGAAAAGCTTGTAGTAGATTCCCGCTATTACTTGAGACTATCCCTGAACCAACTTTTGGAAAACCAGTTTTTTGTCATGAATCTTGTTGTACTCGGAGACGGCGAAATCCACAATTTCCCTCAAATGTGGGTCGTTCAAGTTTTCAATGGGGTAATATCCACCCCTCGGAGGCTGGTACTCGGGAGGGTAATGGTGCTCTTCTCTTCCTCCTCCTACTTCATACGTAGTGGTAGCAACCGAAAGATAAAATAAGGCGGTCAAGATTAAGAGGAGGAGGCAATGAGGGCAATGCATGCTCAACGTTAGTTTCATGTTTGTCTCAAGAAGAAAGAAAAAAGTGAGAGAAAGAGATGCTACATTAACTTGGAATGCAAACTACTTTTATATGAATAACAATTAAATTGGAGGCAATAAAAAGGAGTCCCTTTTTTGTTATTAAAAAAAAAATTAAAGAATAGAAATGCTACTCCAGAGTAAAGAGGGTGAGCAAAAGCTGATTAAAAAACGAAAATCAATTTCAAATAATAATGATATAGTACCTGCTTGCGTAAAGTTCTCTAATTAATTTCCTTGTTTGTGTATAGGATACATATATCATACCTGTGCAATGTATCTACTGACTTTTATTTCTTTTGAAGATTTTGAAACGATATAGTTTCTTTGTTTGGAGATTTTTAACGACTAAAAAGGAAATATAGGTATGGTCTACCAAAAATACTCTCTCATAGTTGGGCAACGTATCTAGTGATTTTTTTTTCTTTTGAAAATTTTGAAATGATATTGTTTCTTTTGTTTTGATATTTTTAATTTTGAAAAAGAAAAGACGTGGATGATTTAACAATTATACTCTTCTTTATTTAAGTCTATTAGATACGATTGTATTTTTGCTCACCATCTTAAAATGGCAGTGATGCTTATCATCACCATCCTAAAGGTTGGTTTGGTATTGCTGTGCTTTGAAAAAAAACTGATTCTGCTATATTGTGAGAATAAATAGATGTGAAATAAAACAGCAGAGTGTTTGGTAAACTTTTTTTTGTAAAGTGCTTTTGAAAAAAAAAAGCAGTATGATAGTGTTTAGTAATAACCTTGCCTCCCCACACCCTTCACACACATACCCAACGTTTTTCTTTGGACACCCAACAAGAATCTCACCCAGCAAACCCTCCTCCAAAATCTTCAGCACCTCCTCAGAGCCACCTATATATCTCCCCTTCACAAACACCCACGGCGGCACCGCCGCCTCCTTCCCTTTCCCTTTCATCAAGTCGCTCAACTCTTCTCTGAACCAGCGATCCATTGACACGTCACGCTCGATAACCATCACCCTGAGGCCTTCTATCTTTGCCCGGACGGCGTTGCACTCCTCAAAAGTCCGTCGCACTCCTCGCAGCGGTCTCGGGTCGGACAATAGCGACTTGGGTTCGAACTCGAGAGACTTGGGCTGGGACAAGGGACTTGGGAAAATGGACCTGAAAGTGAATCGAGAAGGGGGTGTCGACGGAGTGGTGGGCGCAGGCGGCAGCGGGTCGAGAGTGAGGAGGCTGTAGGTGGATGAAGTCAGCAAGACGATGTGGTGGCTTAGCGCGGAGCTGCCGAGTTAGGAGAAATGAGAAAGGAGAAAGGAGGGCAATATTGGCAGCTTCCACAATAAGCCATTTTTTGAAGCTACTTTTGCAGCTTTCACTTTTTAGCTTTTTTTTATCTGAAACCTTGAAAAAAAACTGATTTAGGGTGTTTGCCAAACACCAAAAACTCTCCTAGTTTTTTTTCATACTAGCTTTTTTTTAAAATCACATCAACCCCAAACCAATTGAAATACATTTTTGGATTTTGATTTGGTGGCGTTACATATACCGTTTGAGTTCGATCTCGAGAACAAGGTGATTAATAAAAATATGCTTGATCGAACATTTCTTTTAGTGCAATGATTGGTCAATGGCAGTGGCATCTAATAAATCCATTATCATCAAAATCACGACATGTTCAGTGAAGCAGGATCCAAAGAACAATAGAGATTTCCGTTGGTAACCACCGGAAATAACAGATATATATATTTAGACGATAACTAGCGAACATAAACAGAAGCACTCGGGAAGCAACCACCAAATGCGTAGGGAAGAATGAACCAAAAAGATCTGGGTAGGTGAAAAGCCATGGTTTTCTCTCCACAGTGAGAGCTTTTCTCTCAAGACTGAGAACCCTTCTCACCATTTGTGTGAGCCTTTCCCTTCTCCGTTCCTCTGGTGGCACCGGCCCTAGCTTCGGCTAGGGTCAGTCTGATCTTCAGCCATATTTCCTATTGAGTTTGTGTGTGAGGTGAGATGTTTTTCTTGGCTCGGGTGTTTCCCACACCACCACGTTCTCCTTGATGTCTGTTGTTTTCGGCAGTGTTGCTCGTGGGTTTCCTCGAGCTTCTTATTGGTTGTTGGCTAATCCCTCTTTGGTGCCAACTATTTCTTGTTAATGGTTGTGATCTGGTCGGGATTGGCGGTGGTGTCTGAGGCGGCGATACTCGGTGGTGGTTGACGTTTTCAGTTGGCTGACTTGGATCTCTATCGATGGAGGGATTTCAGTAGAAGCTTCTCGGCTGTTGTGTGTTTTTTGGGCTTTACTATTGTTGGGCCCTCTTTCTATTTTGCTGTTGGTTTTATCCATTTTCTAATTGTGTATAGTTTTAAATTGGGCATTTAGTTTGCTGTTTTCATAAAAGTTGAGGGAGTTTTGACTATAGCTTGCTACAATCAGACTTTTAACTAAAAAAAAAAAAAGATCTGGGTAGGTAACCCCTGAAAACTAAAAAAATTATTACATTCGCGTACCATAACCACCGAAAACAAGCAAAATCTTTCGGGTGGAAACAAAAGAATGCGAAAGGAAAGGCATGAGCAACCAAGAATGAACCCAGTTTGACGATATTGGACATCCTTTTCCGAAAAAAAGAAAGAAAGAAGAATTTCGGTCAATTACTAGTACAAATTAAATGGATTGGCTGACATATGAAATATCACAAGCTATATGGTATTTTGGAAATTTTGGTTGGGCACACGTATTGGGTTTAAAATTTTCACACACGACATTGCTTTATAAGTCTTGTGGGGTCATCACCTCATGCAATCTGTACTGGAAAATTGTGCTCCTGAACTTTTGGTGATGACTTACAAATGCTTAGGTCGGTGTGTTGGAGTTTGGTTGTGTGGCCGAAACTTTCAATTTCTTAGGTCATATTTGGAATGTTGTGGGTGCACTTATAGGTTTATATTATAAGTTTTTACCTAAAAATGTAAATTACACAAAACTACTTCAATTATGAGTCGAACTACAATCTCATACCTCATGTTTTAAAAATTACAATGTCATACCTCATCTTACGAATTTATTGCAATGTCAAACCTCTGTCATTTTGTCTGTTAATTTTTCTGTTAAATGTTGACGTGGCTTGGAATGTGACCCATTCCCTTGTCCAATTGGATAAAAATATTAATTAAATATTAATAAATCAAAGATAAAATTATTTAAATATTTTTGTAAAAACATGTGGATCGCACCCTGTCGAAGTAGAGGTAGAAGATGCCGCCGGCAAGGGCGAAGTAGAGGGAATGTTCAAAGGGTAAAGTCAGGATCTTGGTGCTAGTGGGGAGGGATTTGAGGTTTTGGATTGGGGAAGATGGATGAGAGTGATGGGTTTATAGGGGGTGGGTTTAGCGGCAGGGATTTGGTTGTAGAGGAGGAGGGGGAGGAGATCCATGAGGGGGACATTGGAACGGATCAGAAAAAAGGGGGAGAAAGAGGAGAAATTTTTAATTGTGACGGGAACACAAGTGGTACACCATGTGTTTTAATAGGAATAGCGAATTTTATTTTTTACGCTATTAAATTTTTAGCACACATATCCTACCATTTGTATAGTGACACGTGATGTACCATCCCGTGTACCCGTCACATTGAAAAATCCCTCGAGAAAGAGAATTATAGTGTGGGTCCCACATTTTTTATAATAATATTTAAATAATTTATCTTTAATTTGTTAATATTTAATTAATATTTTTATCCAATTGGACAAGAGAGTGGGTTCCACTCCAAGCTAAGTTAGCATTTAACAGAAAAATTAATAGACAAATTGACGGAGATCTGACATTGCAACAAATTCGTAAGATGAGATATGACATTGTAATTTTTAAAACATAAGGTATGAGATTGTGATTCAACCTATAATTAAGGTAGTTTTGTGTAATTTACCATTTTTAAAAATAAGTTGGGTGAAGATATTTAAGTAGATAAATTTTTTGGGTGGCAATAAACCGGCAACTTATGCATAATAGTCTTCTATGCATGTTAGTTGTAATGGCTTTGCATATTACAAAATAACCATGTAATTAATAAACTAACAGATCTTTAACAAAAGTCATCCAAAAATCCAAACTAACAGATATTTAACCACATATATATCCGTGAACATAGTCTCCTAATGTATATATATATACTCATATAATGATTAATATTCTATAATTTTTCAATCAATCACTGGATAGGTGGCATCCATGGTAATGCCACAGTGTCCATTCGGGCTACCATCTTTAAGAAGTTTCATGTAGCCTCCCTCTCCCCATTCCTTGCCCCAGGAATTCTTGATTTTCCAGTATTCGGTGCCAGACTCGTCCCTCCCGATACCAACTATGGTGACACTGTGTGTCAAATTAGTACCACATTCATCTCTAAAAATCCCGCCTTTGTAATATGCAAAAGCTGCGCTTCCGGCATCAATTCCGACAGTCACTGGCTGTTGACACACAGCCCTTGTCAGGGCCTGCTCGTCCTTCGGCAACACACTGTGACTGCGATTAATCCAGGTGACAATGGGTAGACTTTCAAATATCTCTGGGTTGCATTTGCCGGTCTTTGCCTTGTAGGGATAACTGGCCTCACTTACGATCCCTCTCTTGGAGACATAGTCATAAGCGTGAACCTCGAGGCCATCCTTGCAGCCATAACTAACCTCGTCACAGTCCACAAGCTGCTGAGGAGACAGCGGCACCACCTTGTCCTTCCCCCTTTTTATTCCGAAAATTCCTTCTATTCCGGTTACTGCGGCAAACGCCCAACAACTTCCTGCAATCAACAAACGAAATTTAATTTCAGCATTTAAATAAGGAAACTTTAACGAAAAACTCTTGGTACTGTTTACTTTTACGAAAAATCATATTTTTACACTAAAAAGTCAATCTTGGTACTATTCACTTTATCCTTTATTTTGTCTTTATCGTTAAAATTCAAAATTTTAAAATTATTTTCATTAGTTTTCCTTTTAAATAATGATCACAAAATTATTGAAATTTTTTAGATCGTCAGGCCGGAAGGTCTCATTCCAACGACACTGATATTGTCCCTAACTTTTCCCCCACCGATGTGGGACTGCCAACAAAAATTGACTTCAAATCTTCGGTATATCTATTTAACACACACTTAACCCCAACTTTAACACTGTTATTCTGCTGCTAAACCATAGAAATATATGCCGAAAGATGAGAATTTCTTCAGTGATCGATAACATGATAGTTTAATTTGGTTTCTTCAGTTTCTTAATTTCTTTTGTTCCATTCCAAATTCGGTCAAGCATAAATTCAAAACTGAAGTAAATACGTTGAAAAAAAAATTCGGCACAATATCATGCTAAATATGGTTATGTATACGTACCACATTTTTTCTGATTCCTTACTGGAGTTACTACTCCGTACTCGACCCAATCCACGCTGCTGCATGTACTGTTGTCGATTTTTTCGACAGCAACAGCATTGTCTGAGATTGTCATGCTAGTGGCCGAATCAGACTGCAATAGTCTACAGCAGTACCCGTTCATGATCTCTTCAGTAGTCAAGTCGGCAAAATGATTGAGGCCGACGGTAAAACCTTTCCCATTCTTGTTAAATTTCTCCACAAATTCAAAGTTGGCTTTGAATATTGTGAGTCGCAGCTCTCGTTCTTGAGTGCTGGAGTAGATGCGGCCGTGCACCGCAGTCCACTCTTCAAATGCTTGAAAAGCACTTGAATCAGACATCAGTATTGCTACAAACAGTAGTGTAGCAAAAAAGGTTTCTCTCCAATTATTAAAACTCATTCTCAGGAGATAGACAGAGGAGAGAATATTTGCAGCTTAACAGCAAGGCCCTATCAAGCGCACGCCAAGAAAAATGGAAAGATTCACGGGGCGTTTGACGGATTAACCACCGCAAAGAAGTGGTGGGTGTGGGAGAGGTGGGGGAAGACACCGAGAATATCAAGAAAAAAAAAGTCGGGAGGGAGATAGACCTGATAATACAGGGAGGAGCCGCTGAAGGAGAGAGAGTTCTTGTTTTTCCAGTTTTTAATATGTTTATGTTTTATGAGGGTAAACTAGAGAGTTTATATAGGTAACAAAATACTAAAGTTGTGTTTAGAAATAGAAGAGCTGGGTCCGAATAAATATTCTCAAAAGGTTTCTCTGATATTTTAAACTTCTGTCCAAACCCGACCCGTGTTGAATATATACAGACTCCAATTTTTATATAAATAACTTATACTCTGTATGTTATTCAAGAAGATGAAAGTGTGGCTCACTTTTTTTTTTAATTAAAAAAAATTGTTATTAGCAATCTAAGAATCTAATTGTCCACTTTAAATTTTTATATTTAGAAAGAAAAAAAAATCTTTTAAGAAATGCACAACTAAAATTTTGAAGTATCAATAATAGTTCCCTAAATAAAATGTTTTGTAAACTTGATATATTAGAAAACAATTTTTGATAACTGAATTTGCTAGCATTGTTCTATATCTCAATCATTTTGTGGACTTGAAGTAAATATCTCAATTTTAATTTTGTAATGGGGTGGGGTAGGGAATTAGATCTGTTAAGTGTATAATTCCACTTGTTTTGTCCGAAAAAAATGCATTTTTCTTGTGACATGTTGGATTTAAATGAAAGCATTTACACGATTTTTGTTTCTTTATGGTTAGGCAAAGGAGATGACTAATTTGCATTATATTTATATGATTTTGTTGAGTCAAATGGAACTATTGTCATAATTCGTATTTTGAATGCAAGGATGTCTTTATCTTTTGTTTAAGAGAATGGCATTGTATAATTGACTTGCACAAAGAGAGGACTATTTAACATTTTGTGAGGCTCCATTATTATAAAGGAAAACTAATGAAAATGGCTTGAAAACTTTGAGTTTTAATGATAAGGACAAAATAAATGGTAAAATGAATAGTACCATGATTGACTTTTTAGTGTAAAAATGTGGTTTTTCGTTAAAGTGAACAGTACCGGGTGCTTTTCGTTAAAGTTCCCTTATTATAAAGCTAAACTCACTCTCACTTAAATCATATCAGGTTTTCTATTTTGACAAGGAACAGTTTTCCTGTTACTTTGCAAGATTGAAACGAGGTTTGACAAGTCAACTAAATGTGGAACACATGCCTTGCTCATGATGTATTCAATGGCACAAATTTGGTGGATGTCCATTTTGGAGATGTGATTTTCATTCAAATGTGTTTTACTTGATTGAATTACAACTTGTTTTCTTGGTTGCCACTTTTTGCATTGTGATCACACGTTCTTATTTTCTTTTATTTTTTTACCTTTATCAATCCTCAAAACCTTCATTATTTATCAATCTTTGTTAAATTTCACTACGTTGCAATTGGATTTAAGTTAGTTGATTAGAATTAGATTAATTTCTGTGGGACGATATTAAGTGCTTTCTATACTATCAAACGATTCGTACGCTTGGGAGCTTTGGGGCCACATCGTCTTGCATTGTGCACCTAGAAATAACGACTAATCCATTTGAGTTGAAGCTGTCTTTCATCCAGATGTTGCCATCATTTTATGGTCTTACTACTAAAGATCCAAATTTACATATTAGCGACTTTGTCAAGATATTTGAAACTTTGAAGATCCATGGGGCAACTAATGATGCTATCAGATTGCGGTTGTTTCCGTTTTCACTCAAGAACAAGGGAAAGTATTGGTTTAACACTTTACCTGCTAATTCTATAACAACTTGGGATGAGTTGGCAAATCAATTCCTTCAAAGACTTCTAAATTGCGGAATGAAATCATGACTTTTGCCCAATTTGATTATGAAGCTTTTTACGACAATTGGGAAAGGTTCAGAGATTTATGGATGAAGTGTCCTCATCATGGCTTACTGGAATGGTTGCAGCTACAATCATTTTATCAAGGATTTACTCCCAAGAACAAGAGAATGATTCATGCCGCTAGTGGAGAAACTCTAATGACAAAGACAGTTGTCGAGGCATCCGCACTTTTCAAGACATTAATTACTCATTCTCAACAGTGGGGAGTGGAAATAAGACCATCCAAACGTGCTGGAGTGCACAAGATCGACGCCATGTCTACTATGGCTGCACAAATTTCTAACTTCAATAAAAAGTTTGAAAATTTGATGACCGTTAAATCTGTGAAGTCTTTTGATGTGGTTTGTGAAATATGTGCAGGTATACATGCAAGTACTGAGTGCCCGAACAATGGTTCCTTTCCGAAGTATATGCAAGAGCAAGCAAATCAAGTGAACGATTTTTCTTGTTAGCAAAATAACCCATATTCGAACACTTACAATCCAGGTTAGCGTTTTCATCCAAATCTTCAATGGAATAACAATCCAAATGTTATGAATCCTCCAACTAGGCCACCTCCTATGAATTTCCATCCATAAGAAAAGAAGAGACTAGTGGAAGACTTGATAGCTCAACTTGCTACAAACACAAATAATTTCATTCAAGCAACTCAGACGACGCTCCAAAATCAACAAGCTTCCATTGGCAAGCTGGAAGTTCAAGTTGGTCAGATTGCTAGTGCTTTGAATGAAAGAGAAATCCAGAAATTTCCAAGTTAGTCGGAAGTGAATCCAAATAACTAAGAGCACATTAAGGCTATCACATTAAGGAGTGGCAAGATCATAGAAACCGAGGGTGCAAAGGAAGAAAAGAAGCCCGAAGAAGCTAAGAATGATTCACTCACATTGCCAGATGAGAAGCTAGCACAAGAAAAGATTTATTCGCCACCTATTCTATATCCTCAGCGTTTGCAAAGGGCTAAGAAAGACAAGAACTTTTCTTAAATTTTAGATTTATTTAAAAAGGTACATATTATCATTCCTTTGCTTGATGCAATGAAACAAATTCCGAGTTATGCAAAATTCTTGAATGACATATGCACCAATAAGAAAAGGTTTGTGGAACACGAAAAAGTGATGTTGTCAGAAGAGTGTAGTGCTGTTTTGCAGAAAAAGTTGCCCCCGAAGTTAAAAGATCCAGGGAGTTTTACTATTCCTTGTACAATTGGTAAATTTTCCTTTGAAAAAGCTTTGTTTGATTTAGGAGCTAATGTTAATTTAATGCCATTGACTATCTTTAAACAGCTTGGTCTCGGAGAGATGAAGTCAACTTCGGTATCTTTACAACTCGTTGATCGTTCGGTTACATATCCAAGAGGAATCATGGAAAATCTAGTTCGAGCCGATCAATTCATTCTACCGGCTGATTTCTTGGTACTTGACATGGTGGAGGATCGAGAAATTCCTATCATATTGGGCCATCCATATATGGCTACCGCTAGAACTCTTATCAACGTAATAGTCTAGATGTCATAGATATTACATGAGTTAGGGAAATTTGACTATCAATGAGATTGAGTACTTGTTAATAATTTGTTGCAGGAAATAAGTAGGTTTGGTTATGGTGAGTCAGATGCTCTAGTGTTTTATTCGATTGAATTACAACTTGTTTTCTTGGCTGCCACTTTTTGCATTGTGATCACACGTTCTTGTTTTCTTTTGTTTTTTTACTTTTAGTAACAACTCTCAAAACCTTCATTATTTATCATCTTTGTTAAATTTGACTACGTTGCAATTGGATTTAAGTTAGTTGTTTAGAATTAGATTAATTTTGTGGGACGATATTAAGTGCTTGCTTTCTATACTATCGAACGATTCGTATGCTTGCAAGTATAAAATTTAGAACTAAGTTGGACTAATTTCGGTTAGTTTAATTTTCCCAACAAGATCCGCCTTGGGAACGGGAGATGGGGAATCCCTGATTTGAAACAATGAGTATGAAGACAAGGATGGGGATAAAATGCATAACGGAGATGGGATGAGAATTGTATATCCATCACGACTTTGACCCATTGTCATCCCTACTTTGATGTGCCCATATTTAATTGAAGAGATATGTAGGGTGCATAATTTCTTTTTACCATTAGTATCTTCATGGTCTAGGTTTCATGTAATGCCAGAATTTTTTAATTTCTTTGTAGGAGTGATTTCAATACTTTTTGTGTGACACAAAAGGTCGAAGTGAGTCCGGATATCTACTATCCATTCATACTATCTTGCATCAAATTCAACACGACTTCGGATGCAAAAGAAAAATTATAATCACTTAAATTACAAAATTATTACCTCTAAAGTGTTATTTAGATGCTCTTTTGAAGACCTACAACTAGAATATGGTTGCTTTAATTGAGAGTCAAAAGTCTACCTTATCCTAGAATTAATGTAGAATAAAAGTGTGTCTAATTGTGGAACAACTGAGCTCTTGCTTCACTAAGTTTCTTTTGTGTTCACATGCAAACAAAGGAGGGGTTGTTGCAATTGCCTAAAGCAAAAACAGCACCAAGAAATGTTCTAGCTGTTCACACTCGTTTGCTTTTTTTTCCCCTATGTTTTCATTTAGTCACAACAGTCAACGTACACTAAACTTTGGGTTAGGTAGCTATGTCAAATAAACGTTTCTACACATATTGTCACGAAGCTGCACTCATACAAACTATTTCTAAATTTCGAATCACGGCTTTATAGTGGGTAGTTTTATGAAATGAACTATTTTCAGATTAAGTGAGAGAAACCGCATAGAGAGAAAAAGAGGTGATAATAAGATTCTTTGTTTTATCTATACTGTTAGTAAGAAAACCCTCATTGTCAACTTTTTTTTCTTCTCTTTTTTTCCTATTTTTCCATCACTTTTGATGCACATTATTGACAAAAAGAGGGCAAAATAGTAATTTTGTACCTTTTGACAAAATGACAATTATATCCCTATTTTTCCCTTTTTTATACTTATTTTTCCAATTTTACCTTTACTTTTGATATACAATATTTATATAAGGAGGACAAAACAATAATTATGTAATATTAATATGCACTTATTAAGAGAAATTGTTCACACACACAAAGTGTGTGCTCTCTGCTAGTACTAATCAAAGGTAAGGTTTGCTTGCCCGTAACGTTATATAGCTGTACAAAAATAAGATCTTCTAGATATTTTATGATTTCTGCTTTCAGTCTACATAATCACACTATTAGAAATTACTATTTGTCCGACAAAATTT